GGAAGGAAGGAAGGAAGGAAGGACTGGGGAAAGGTGGAGGAGGAAGAGGTAGCTCACCTCTCTTGCCGCGTCTCAACCGACCGCCTTGACAGTGACTGTAATCCATACAGTTGAGGACGATCAAAGCAAAGGAGAAGAGGCGAAACTGCATCCTTCGGCTCCGGGAACTGGGGATTCACCAGGCAGAGAAAAAGCCGGAGGTTCAGCCGCAGGTAGCGGCGCTGGGTGGGGCGGGGGTCACGGTCCGCCCTCCTTCCCCTCCCTCGAGACGGCGAGGTGACGGGCGAAAAGAGAGAGGGCGCCCTCCAGGCAGAAGCAACGGCTACCCCGGGAGCCGCTCAGATTTGCACGCCGGCCGAGCTTCTTGGCCGCGCCCGGCCACCTCCGAGCATCTCTTAGCCGATCTGGAAGCGCAAGAGAGGGTTTGAAAACACAACATTCACACAGACTTTGTTGCTTTAAGACGGCAACTCCCGGACTGACTGGCCGGAGGATCAATCAACCCCACGAGTCGACCGGAGTTACTTCCGAGGAGGCCAAAAGCACTTTGGGATGGAGCCGCCTCCAATCCGGCTGCCCGGCGTCCTTTTAGAGTCTCCAACCTTGGCCACTTTTAACTTCAACTCCCAGAATTCCCCAGCCAGCCAGCCAGCCGCGTCTCTTTCTTTTTCTCTTAGCCAGCTAAAGTGTGAGATAGATTGCAGAGGAAGGGATTGCAAGAGAGTAAACTGCTGGCTGAGGCATTCTGAGAGTTGAAAGTCGGCCAGGCTTCCAAGTTGCCATGGTTGGGGGAGCCCCTGCTTTTCCAGGCTCGGAGCTCGACCCGAGCTGCTCAGAAGCCCCGCGAGTTACAGCCCCAGGTAGGGCAACTAAGCGTCGGCGGGGACGTCTGCGTTTCGCTCCGCAGATCGGCCCGGCCGGAGGGCAGGCAGGCCCCGCGCGCTCCCCAATCCCGGGGAAGCCGCCCGCGCTTTCCCAAAGCAGCGGTAATCCCCTGGGCACGTGGACGCGGCACAAGCCCCTTGCCGGCTTGAAGGAAGGTTACTCTCGGGCTAAGAAGCTCCGAGGGGCTCGAATAAACCACCGACGCCCCGTCCGAGAAGCGCTGGAAATAGCGGACCTGCAAAAAGCTGCCGCAGCCCGAAAGGAGATGCCGCCGCCGCCGCCGCCGCCGCCTCCGGGCTTGGAACCGAGGAGGTCCCCAACGCGGCTCCTCTCCTTCCCGGGCCAGGTCTTCCTCTCCGTCCACTAGTCCCGCGGGGCTGCTCCAGCCGCCGCAGGTCAAGGCGAGCGCTCCGCTGCAGTCAAGCGACCCGGCTGGGGGGAACCACGTGGAGCGAAAGAGGGGCCGGTGCCGAGGCTTCGCGGTCGCCCTTTGCCGCCCCCTCGGAGGAAGGGAGCCAGGTGGAGGGCGAGGAGCGGAGCGGAGCGCGGCTGCCGCGGGCGAGGCGAGGTGAGGTGAGTTGCGGGCTGGTTCTTCGCGCCCTCTTCTCTTATAGGAGCTGGGCGAGGAGCGCCACTCACGCGGGGCTGCTGTTGCTGTTGTTGCGGCGACGGAACGTAGGGGGCGCTGTGCTCTACCGCATCTGTCCGCGGAGAGGCCGTCTGCTTCTCCGCCTCCGAACCGGGTCGCTGCCGGAGGTGGGCGAAGGGTAGCCAGGATCTGCCGGGAACTCAGCCCGCGGAGCCAACTCTCCTTGCCCTTCTCGGCCGTGGTGGGGGGGGGGGGGGGGAGGAGAGCGGGCGGGCGGGCGGCGCGATCCTACCCGGCTTTGCGCCGGCTTTGAGCATCTCGAAGCAGCGCAAAAAGCGTGGTGGAAGCAAGCGCAGAAAGGAGGACCAAAGGCAGCGAAGGCTCGCTTATTTATTTATTTTATTTTATTTTATTTGTCAAGCAAGTATTAGGTAACAGGTATAAGTATAAGCGTGGTTATGAATACATGAAATGGATACGAATAAATAAAAAAAAAGAAACAATAGGACAGGGACGGTAGGCAAGTTGGCATCCGCGAGAGGTTCAAGAGCGCAGACTCCTTTAATGCGATAGTTCCTCGAGGGCGCCGTCGTCGTTTAATGCGATATTTAATGCGATATTTCCTCGAGGGCTGTGCTCCTGCGGAGCCGGCACGGATGGCTTTGAGGAGGCCTGGCTCGGTTCCTGGAGAATCAGGCTAACCGTGGCTACTGTTATTGATGGCCAGCCAGTCCTAATAGGAGCGAACAGGAAGCGTTGTTGAGTTGACCCACGCAGTTCGCCTCTGCAGATCCGTGGAGTGGCTGAAGGGAGGCCTCTTAGGAAGGGAGCAGGATGCCTTTTAGTCAAATGCGGACTTCTTCGGGTTTGGGTCTGCCATAAGTGGACCCTGCTTTTCTCCTACAGCGTCTCCAGCGTCTTTGGGTCTCCAAGGGCTGATCGGGTTATTAGCTCGTTTAAAATAAAGGTTGCTGGAAGGTGCATATGGCTCTCCAGTTTAGATTTGTGAGCTACTGGGCGACAGGGTGCTCAAGTAGATGAGTGGAAGGTCATCTTCAGCTCTTAAGTTCTAGTCGCCTTAGATGGCCAAAAAGGAGCCAAAAAACTAAAGTCCTACAAGTAGTAACTCTGTATTATAGGCTGTAGTAATTCTTCTTTGCTTGTTATTGCATTTACATTTATATCTCACAGAAACACATAGAACAATCAATAGAAACCACAAATGCATTTACTAATTTGTATATTTTATTTAAAATACATATTTTATAGCCAAAGGAGGTCAGCTGTATTAATTATTGCAGCTGAGTACTTCTTTCTTTCTTTCTTTCTTTCTTTCTTTCTTTCTTTCTTTCTTTC